GCAGATTTCCAAATTTAAGAATACGTTGGCTGATGGCTAGGGAAGAATGTGTTACTAGGGGTCTTTTTCCACATGAATATCCACTGACTTGCTTTTCAAAAAACACCTCATCAGGTATTTGAGAGGACTCTTGCATTTTATTCTGTTTCCTGTCATTAGGTAAATACATGTATAACATGGATGGCAGAATGCTAACAACATTCTATACCTGTAAGAGCAAACTTAGGAGGTTAATAAGGGTCATCATTAACAACTTCCTGCACAAGCTTTATATAAATCCTTTGCTGCAAATATGATACAGCCTTTTGCTTCAGCACTCTTGCCTTGAGTGCATAGGTCAAAACTCTTTGTGGGAAGGAGAGCCATGCTGCAAGCAGCTTAGCAGGTGGAGCCCCTGCTTCATTTGTTACAGGGGCTGGAAGTTGTCTATGTATTGAGGGAGAAGTTTTCAAGAAAAGAAGGTATAATATAGCTGAATGGTCAGCTTTAAGCCCCAGTAAAGCCCATTCCAGCTCCAACAAGGCTTTCCAAAGTAGCCACATTGCTTCTGCCAGATTTTTGATACTAGGTATTTTTATATTGCCTACACTGAGATCCTTATCTGATATTCCTGTAATTCTTCATCTAGAAATATGAAGAAAGTCCCTAGGAGCTAGGATATGAACATATGTAGTATATAATGTTCTTTTAAAAATCACCCAGTTCTAACTGGGTATCCAAAACAAACAGGTTTATGTATCTGATTTGTCTCTCGACCTCCACTAATTTCTCTTAACAGAGGGGCAGTTCCTCATCCATTCTCACTTGCCAACACAAGGTATTCAGGAATTCAGGCTTCAGGAATTAAAGGGATGAGCAACTCAGAAAGAAAGACATGGAGGCTAATAATTCTGTCTGGAGAGTTCATTCTTTAAGTGATGTGACTAGTGTCTCGGAAGTGACAGGGAGAGAATCCAAATTTTCCTAAGGTCCGTTCAAGCGTATTAATTGTGAGGCTACCCTGAAATGAAACTGTGAGAACAGCCCTGCTAATGCCTGTAACACATTCAGAAAATACTGAATCTATCTGAATTTCAACAGAAAAATTCCTGGCCATCAGTAAGTATTATATGCAAGCAACAGTTCCTCCTCTATTCATCTCCACTACCACTGTTTGACAAATTTCAGTTTCCAAAGACATCGTCACAAAAATTTCTCAAACAAAATACCTATTTTAATTGGGCAAAACCAAATACAAGATTAAAACTTAATAATTTAAGATGTGATTTTAAAACTTGATTTTTAGTATTAATTGGTACACACTCAGCTAGAGTCATACCTTAGTGTATTTGCAAATACATTACATCATGTAGAAAGTTAAGCCTGTGAAGACCCCGCTCAAAAACAAAGGACAAAAGAGACAAGCTATATCAAGTTTGGCCTTTTTGTTTAAGTACCTGAATACATTACTGAATTTTAGAAGTGCTAACTGTACAGGAACACCCACTATTAGGCCTTGTAAACAAAGGTATTAGGAAGCCTTTAGGAGTATATTAATTAATTATGCAAAACCTAAAAGCTCTGTATGTCCCGACTGCACTTCCATGACTAAAGTTGCTAGATTTACCATCAAGTACTAAATAAATCTCACTGTCAGATGTATTGAAAAATGAATGTCAGATGAAAAAAAAAATCCATGGCAGAAAATGTCTGATTGAACATGTACGATGCACTGTGACTTCCAGAAGCATGGATGGATAAGGAAGAGCCTCTACTCTGTTGACATTTTTCTTTTTCCATTATCTCAAACATCTCCATTATCTCTATTCTGCAGTAGAAATTGCATACCTGCAATTACAATTACAACTAATTGATCTGCCATTTCCCATGTCATAATTAATGTCATGTTTTAATAGAGTTGTAATCATTCTATAATAATGCTTTTCATTCACCAGCTTCCCACAAAGTATAAAAGAATAGTGCACAAAAGCAATGAACTTTTATGAGCCCCTTTCAAAAACATCCCAAAAGGAACATCTCAGTGCATTACAATGAACTTTTTAAATATGTTTCTATATTCTTATCTGAGCTGCAATAAAGTACAATGAAAAAAAAGACTTTTTACTCTGGCATTCCTCCTTCCCTGAACATCCATAGGTGAAAAATGAAATCAATGATTCAGTGACAAATACATTATGTTTCCTAAGGGGTTATTTAATGTACTCTTAGCAAGGATGGAAAATGATGGTTTCTAGAGAACAGATGGTAACAAGACAAAATATCAACAGACCACAGTTGTTGACTGCAATTTATGGAGTGTACAGATGTGTCAACTTAAATGCAGTGATTCTGAGGCCAATAAAAGTACTTCCTGATACCAACAGATTAATTTTTCATGACCATTGGTTACACAGCTATTACATTTTTAAAAACTAATCATTCATCTACAAAAGAAGCAACAATTTTGCTTGAAGATAATTATTATAAAGTGGAATGTTGTTCTTGCTGGCAAAAAATAAACAGGCATGACAGAACTGGATACAAGTTTGTATATCTTCATTTCAGAATAAAATTTCCTACTTTCTTCCATACAGAATATTCCAAAGAAAGATGAATGATAGCAGCCAATCCAGATTTAAAGTAACAGTATGCAATAAGAAGTATTTGACTTCCGAGGCAAATAAGAAGTATTTTTACAAAATTTTTTGACCTTTAATTTAGCAGGATGAATAATGGTGCTTGTGAAGGTTGCAAGGGACTGGCAGTGCCTGAAGCTGCAGTCCCTCATTTTTTATCCACTGCCACATGAACTACACAGTCTCTCCCATATGCTCTAGGACTAGAGTTACACAACTCCACAAAGCCACAGATCTCAGAACCTTCATCAATGAATGGGTTGAGCTCTGGATCTAATCCTTGTAATTCAATTTCATTTTCATCTTGTCTTATATTTCAGCTTGGAGAAATATTTCACCCCTAGTCTCTTCCCTGTTAAAGGCTAACTCAAATTTTCCTAAGGATTGGTTCTTTGCTTGTTAAGAATAAAAAAGGAAAAAGCAGCTCTACTTTACAAATTCCCCCATTCTAATATCAAGATCAACTCTATAACAAGCACTTTACATTAATGAAACCACAAAATACCCCACCAAATAGACAGTGTTAAGTTAGCTACAGAAAGAAAATTTAAAAACAGTTCTACACTATATCAAATTGCAAGATAGTTTTTCATGATCTAAAATTTCAAAGGCCACTTCAACTCAGCTGTCATACAGCCTTTGGAAAATAAACTGCAAAAGCATCTAGCCAGAGATTGAACCAGAAGGAAAGGCCTGGGAGTACCGCAGCACCAAGAAGAACGAGGAGTGAGACTGAAGTCAGACAGAGCCATCCATTCCCCCTGCCCAAGCCAGCATAGATGTGTATGAAGCAATGTGCCCTCCTCCAGAAGCATAACTGAGATATGCTGAAATCCCTCCCTTTCAACAGTGTGGCACACACAAAGCAGGACCGAGGCAGACGCTGTTACACTAAAACTGAAAAACATTTTGATTGCATTATCTTGGCTCCATATCTATCAACTGCATAACCCCACCTAGAGCACTCATCATGTTTTAATCTCAGCTTCTTTTCATACCACCTTTCCAGCTTTCTTCTTTGTAGCTTCCTTCGCCTTGTTATTTGGTACTCATTACTAAATTTCTTTGACTTCTTAATTCTCATTATTTTCCCAAGTGTAATCTAAATATTATGTTGAAATTTTGTCAAACATTTACAGTGTTATTCCCTCGATTTATTTTTCTATCCTTTCCATTGCTGATCTTTCCTATTTTGATCAGAAGTTATTGAGAGCAGACTGCCACCACCTCCTCCGTTTTGTACTGTCCGTAGAGCAATAAGGTTCCATTCCAGTTGTCCCATAAGCACAATCATAATAGACATTATTAATAGCAACAGCGTATTCTCTACATCAGCAACCTGGCATCTCAGATTATGTACCTCCACAAAACACAGCAGTATGCACAAACTGAGAAGCTGACACCAATTTGGCCGATTCTTCTCCCTCATCGGTTTTATAGCTGTATAAACCCCACTTCAGTGGAGTTACTCCTGATTTAAAGTAATGCAAGCAAGAGGAGAAAGAGTCCTCTATTTCTAGCAGGCAAATGGAAGAACTCATAAAATGGAGCACACAAATTCAGAGGTCAAAGATGAGATAGTACAGAACAAGTTCCCTCTTAACAAAGCAAATTCGCACCCATGACTTTCTTCCTCGACTTCTTTAACGTGCACTTTCTGGACAGAGCCTTCTAGCAAATTAAACCCTTTAAAGAGCAGGAAATGGTGATAAGAGTCCCACTGTATTATGTAGCAATCAGTACTTTGTAAGCTGTCTCAGACATAATCTGTGAGATGTAAGTGTCAAAAAAGCAAGTTTCAATTCATACAATCTAAGCATCAATAGCACTAGCTTGGACTCACATATTGTTTTGCGCTGCAGAACTAAAGGAGAATCTCACCTACCTGAATCATATGCAAAATCCCTAGGTTCCTGTTTAATCATCAGAGGAGGGGGGAAATTTTGACTGGCTGCGCTGCCAACCATAGCATTGTGTTCATAAACTGGATCGTGGTACTCCTGCTTAAAACCTTGAGGCGGGAAAGGGATGTTTGGTTCAGACATCTGGCGCTGATATATTGGACGTCCTTCCCTTGGCATTGCAGGCAAAGGTGGGAAAGAATTGCAAGGTTCAGAGAGCTGGCGGCGAAATCTAGAACACAAATTATAGAGGTCATGTAAAGGACTTGAGCTACATTCCATTCCCCAATGATCTTCAGGTCATTATTACTGGCTGTATCACATTCTCAATAACAAACATTTTGCTTATGATTATGCCAAGCACTCCTATCAGGATCACTGGCATTGTACAACAGCGGCAAGCAAAGAAACAAAAATCCCACCTATTAATACCAACTCTAAGACCTGTCTCCACCACATCCTCTTTGCTTTCAATATCTTCCCTCAGCAGAAGAGGCAAACAGGAAATGCACCAGCTTCAAAACAGTAGAAAAACTGACAATCTGCCACAGTGACATGAAGGAGGCGTAGATAGAGTTCTCTGCCCTTTCACAAATGTTAGCAACATCTTGCTTGTACTCTAATTTACTCTTAACCATCTTACTGTTACACGGAAACCATTCTGACCACAATAAACACATTTTGAATAGATTATTGTCTGCTCTAACATTTGGAAACATTCCAGGGTAAAAGTCCACTGTTCTGTCCTCTCAGGGGTAGTGTCATGAGAGATCGACTCGCAAGGATGGCACTGCCTTCCAACTGTAACAGGAAGGGAATGTCAGCATCCCAATGAAAGGAGGGGGTACAAATTTTTGCTACAACAATTAATTACTTTCCTGCCTTACCTCTTCCCCTAAGTCATTTCTACATGAAAGTTGTCATCTGTACAAGCCACACTGCCATCTGCTATTCCCAAATGCTCTTCAGTAGGCATAACATAAGAGAATTTAGTTTTAAGTTAATCTTGATTTACATGCAATGCTACTCTCAAGAACCTATGCTTGTTTTTTCTTCCATAAAACGTATCTACCTGAACTAAAAGGCCTAATATAATTACTTGGACATCTGCAGGTTCAGAAGCATACAGAAGAATATCAGGATGCTCTTTTCCCACTGGGCTCTGATGAACTGCATGATGTCTTCCTGTTACCTCCTGCAGATTACCACAGTAGTAACCACCACAGTAGTATTATTGTGTCCACACTAAACAACAGCAGATGCAATGGTCTTGCAACAAACTGCTTACTAATCCTGTTATCACTTATTATAACAAGACACATTAAAAAAAAAGTAAGTTGTGCCTTTCTTTGGAAGCTTCTTGCTGCCACACACACAAAAAATTGAAGACCTAATCATTCCTGAGCTTCCTGTACTTTGGATCTGAACCAACTTTGGTTCACACATGCAAAAGACTTTTTTTGGAGAAAACTATGTGAGTGAAGCACAATTTGAAGAAGGGGTTTGATTGCACAAGCAATAAAATCCTTGACTATCAACTCATAGGTGGTACACATTTCTAAAACAATTTAAACTCTACTACCATCTGTCATAATACTGCTGTAACTTGTTCTGACAAATATTTACAATCATAGCTTAATTATAAATACTTGGAAACTACAGAGATAAAAACTATTACAATGGAGACAAAATTAATTTTTCTAATGCTGCTGTAAATACTATAATTTTTGCAGTAGAAAGAGTACTGCGCTGTAACACTGGGTTTTGCAATTCCACCTACACCTGCAGAAAATAAACTTAGAAACTCAAATGTATTATGAAACAGTTAGGCTGACTGGCACTGCATTCATTTCCTTTTTTCCCTTTTTTCATTAGCCAAAAAAAGAAGCAGAAATTATCATTAAGAACTGTCAAGGAGTGAATCAGAAAATTGCAACTTGAAGATAAAATAAGAAACAGGCTCACTCACAAAGCCTCAAAGGAAGTTAATAATACTTGTTGTACTGGAAGCTTTGTATGGAATCAAGCCATTTGTTTATACAAGTGGATTTGTTTCCTGTTGGTACTTGTTAGTACCACTTATCTTTCATATACTCATGCCCTGTAAGAAGATGTATGGGCTGTACGTATTAGATACTAATGCTATCCTATGCCACCAATGCGTGTTCCAAAAAAAATTGTGCCTTGAGTTATAGATTCATATATGAACTCACATAGGCAGGTCATTTGTTTAAATTCTATTTTCTGAATACACTAATTTCTGAATACACCTAGTAGTATCTCACCTTATAAATCAGGAAAATTTGAATTTCACAAAAATATGAAGTACATGTTTGCTTCATACATAGGATTCAAAATAAATAAGAAAATGTGGAAAAATATCTTCATATCTTCCACTACAATTCCACCTTTCTTTAAAAATGGAGAAAAATGAGGTGGGTTTCTTGCTTTTTATTTTTTTTTTGTTTGAGTCAGCTATTTTCGACTTTACTAGAACACATGATATTCTATAATAGAAGGGAAGTATTAGTGCAAAATGCCCTAAAAAATATCTGTGGGGGAAGGAGGGAAGGAGAAATCATGTAAACAGCCTACAAAGCTTGCACAGAGCAAAAGTTATGGGTACAGAAATTATACTGGGACGTATGCAAATCTCTATAAATACTCAAGTTAGGGCTGACATACAGGTTCAGTGCTCTCTTTACAAGTTGCTATATAACAAAAGATGTTTTTCATCTGAAAAATCTTACTACTGTTCTCTGCACATAAGACATTTAACTTCAGCCGATTTCAGACTCCTGGCAGCTTGACTCTGGTGTATGTACAGAAACACATTTATTCACCATCCTGTAATCTAAACCACTGCCTGGCTTCACTGGGGGCCTTTGTGGTTAGACCACAGTCCATGGCTGGGGAGGAGATGGGGACTATGGCAGGTGAAGGGGCCGATTCAGTGTTTCTTGACGGCCAGAAAGGCTTGTAGAGAACCTTGGTGGTATTTAAAGCTATCTCAGCAGGGCATGAAACAGCAATATTAACGTTAGCAACTTCCTGCAGAAGTGATCTGCACAAATCCCTGGAGATAACAGCCCTTATTAGTGCACAAGCATGCAAATCACACTCCCAACAACTGTTATTCTTTTCAGGTCTTTCTTAATTTGATAATGATTAAGAGGTAAAATAAGTTTCTGAACATACATCTCTTTACACACCATTGGAATTTTAAATGTTCAAGAGCAATCAAAACTCAGCATACAAAAACAGGTTCATGCAATAAAGGTTAGGGTAAATAGAATTCCATAAACAAGTGTTTGGACTGAAAAAACAGGGAAATCCACTGAGCATATCTGTTTCAAAACTGAGCTAAGAAAGCTATTTGTCTGGGGATTTCTAACATATCAAAACAAAACAGGGTGACTTAAGGACAGTTTAAGCTTTAATTCTAGTCTCCAACTCTTGTGGCTTTTACTCAGACTAATGTTATTTAAGCACAGTTTATGTTGGCATCTTTTTTAGAAATGCTACATTACAAAAGGGCTTGGAAAAATGATCCACCCTTCTAAAGAATATTCTGAAGCAGGAACACTGTAACATGGCCACTTATCCCTTAGATAGATGAACTGCTTAGTGAGAGGCCAGATATTTATAGTTAGGAACACGCTTGCTAGAGACTTCATCACCTTGAATGGCTTTCTAGCCTCAAGTGAATCACAGAATTATAGAACAGCCCAGGTTGGAAGGGACCTTGAAAGACCATTGGGTCCAACCTTTCGTGGGAAAGAGAGCCTAGATGAGATTATCCAGCACACTGTAATCACCCTCACAAGACAGAACCAACATGTAATTTAAATTCTGTCACTGCCAATATGAACTCATACACTAGTGCACCAAGCCTGTTGCCAGCCTTTCATAAGCACGCACATTTCTGACACTGTCAACATTGCCGGCTTCCACTTTCATCCCCCAGCCTAAAAGGGAATAGCTGTGGGCAGGAAGCCAGTAGTACCCTGTCTAAGAGTGTGGTAGCCACAACCAAAACACCTCCTGTGCTCTGTGTTTTACCTGTGATCCATAGGGAAGCTGTTGTCTTGAATGGACTGGGATGGAGGGAGGTGGGCAGGGAAAACGCGGTCAGGTTTAGGAGTCTGCGCGGAGTTTGGGGAGGCATGGTGCAGCGGAGACACAGGAGTGCTGGATGGCGTCGGTGGGTTGGAGGGCCTCATTCCCACTTGTGGTTTCTGATCATAGGCACTATTAGTAAGGCAAGGGAAAAGCAAGGCAGGTTATTTTTTGCAAAGAAAGAAGAAAAACCAAAACCATAGCATCTACATCCAGAAAAAAAATCACCACAAGTGCCCCATCTAGAAGCTTTTGATTATAGTTAACTTATTAACCAGTTTGGAGCAGAAGAATTCTCAACTTTACACTAAGAAGAGCAATGAAGAAGTCATGTTAGAGGCAAGTGATTCAGCACAACGTTTTCTTCTCTGAGGCACAGAAATGTATTTTTAAAGGACTCAGTCTTACAGTCACATTCTAACAGGAGATATACAAAATACATAAAAGTAAAAGCACCTGGACTAGAGCACAAAGAGCTGACAGTGCCTGTCAAGGCTCTTTTTCTTTTGCACAAACCACAAAGTGAGACAGTAAAACAATACAGCCAGAGGGAAGGGATCTGACCCAGAAAAACAATGGTATGCTGGCTTAGCTACCCATACTAGGATGTCAGCAGCCTCTCCCGAAAGGTCTTTTTTACCCCCCTCTCTCTCTCTCTCAAAATTAAACTGCTGGTCCTACAAATACATAGATGCTATTTTCAAGAGTGTCTCAAATCAGGAAAGGACTTGAGAACACTTTGATCATCACTGTTTCTAACCAGAAAAATGCAGACATTAGGAATATAGTAAGCACAAGCTTGCCTACTTTCCTATGTCAGGTCCCTTAGTACCCATCAAATCCATCAATGGATTCATTTGAGTTTTGAAGTCAAAAATCACTCCTTATAACTAGCAAAGGTACCAATATTTTCCTTTTCCCCCCCATTCATATAATAAAAAAGTTAAATGTTTTAATGTTTTAAGTGCCAACAGTTTTTGTAATACATTAATGAGAATCAAAGCTAGATGAAAGATTCTAAAATAGACTAAAACATCAATAAGAAATCCTTCACTGCTGACACTAAAGGAAGGAGTGGCATATAAATACAACCAAAAGAAAGTCAATAAGGAATGAAGAGGTATCAAGCCCCTCCACCACTCACAAATAAATAAAGCTTTTATTAACTATGCCTATAAAAGAAGACAACTTGCTTTTGAGTAAGTACCAAAGATGCAGGCACTAATGAAACAGTTTTAAAAGGTAATCACCCAGGAATATACACATACAACATCTGCAGAATTTGTCAAATACCTAATGTGTTGCTCAGACCTGCCAATCCCTTGCCTGTTACACAGATCTCTCTTTCCTAATGTGCATAATGCATTTTGAAAGTACTTTCAATACAGCTCACAGAAAACAAGATACTCCTTTCTATTTCACGCTTGTACTCTGGGTTTTTAAACTCTGGCTAGCTCCCATGGAGGAGGAAAGGAGGATGTGCATTTTGATGAAAAACACTGCTTAAAAATTATTATGTAAGTGTTTGATACAACTGTAAACAAATCCATCAGTGTTCATCAGCTAAACGCATTATCTCATCAGTCTGTTATCTGCTGAAGAGGTAACTTTTATAAAATCTCTATTATGGTTTTATTACTCTTTAGTCAGTCCTCATTTAAACCAGCAGTTCTGACTGCAAACATGCTCCTAATTGCTTTACCTGACATTGTACAGGCACTTTTCCCCATAACTGAACTTGAATGGTTGCTCTTGACTGCAAGCGGAGCCAAGTTCCGAACATGGGCTATGGGGTTCCTTCTTGATTTTCACAGGGAGACCATGAAAAGCCACTGAAAAGAGAAGGAGAATGCAATTAAAGCCCAAGCACAGTATCAACAATTAGCTTTCCCAAGTAAGCTCAACACTGTTAATTAAACACAAGATTAATTAAACCATTGTAATAATAAAAACAATATAGGAAATAAACATTTCAAATATTATTTGAGTGTCAACTGAAAAATAGACACCAGAGATCCTTCACATTGGCTATTATCCCTTCTATTGTTTAATAGAATGATGGCCAGCATCCCATCTCATTAGCAGGAAAATAACAGCCCACTTATATTTGGCTTAACTACTGTAAATGTTGTCAGAGGCAAAATACTTCCCAGGCACCAAATGTTTCTAAGTAATATCAGAGGTAGCTTTTAGCTATAAATGCAACAGTGGTCTACTTCAAAGAGTACCACACAAACGACTCCAAAATAAATTTGAGATACATCAGCCTGAAGTATACGATCAGTAATGATTTTGTCCCACAGAATGCTTGAAAATTTGCAGCGAAACCCTTGAAACTGGATGATCACATGCACTTTTAATTATAAATAACATTAAAAAAAAAATCAGAAGGAATGGCTGAAGTAATTTTTCTTAAAAATAAGCAAGATAAAATCCTGGCCTGACCAAACTCAATAGCAAATGTGATACAGACACAAACTGAAAAGCAAATAAAAAGGTTATACTTTTTAAAAGCTAAAAAACCCCCAGAGGGGGTGCGACAGAAATGCAGCATTAATTAGAAGTGCTAGTTGGTCTGTATTAAGAGAAAGGCCAAAGGTAAACGCAAGGTTAACCAGCAAATTAGTTTACACCAGACAACGTTCCTTACTTCATATCCAATCTTAACGAAAATTAAAGCAGAAGAAAATTCATGTTGATCTGATATTGACAAACTTAAGTAAGTGGCTAGGAGGATAAAGGACTAAAAGACAGGTATGTAACAGCTTGAAAACATATCTGTCAAGTTTTAAATAAAATGAGGTTGTTAATACATTTTTGAACTCCAAGATGCCTAGAATGCAGAGATAATTTTATCACTGATTTTTGATGCTGTCACCAAAACACCATAGTATGAACATCATATTCCAGCCTGACATAGTCACTTGTATCTCTGTAAAAATCCACGTACATGCAGCAGTTCCTATTAGGAAATCTCAGCAAAAAGTCAGGTTATCATTATATACCATCAAGTAGCATCTTCCCCCTTCTCTTGCACCAGAACTTGAGAAAGATGATTTGTTATAGACTTCCTATTTTCTGATACCAATGCATCCACATACACACACTCGTGTTCAGTGGGGAGATGAATGCTGTCTAAGAAGTGAGCATCAGAACCACTAAACTCTGGCATCTGTGAGTAAGGTCTGGATTCCAGACTTTTGCCATGGGTTTTCTCATGGTTGGGCAATGTTCACAGAACTCTTTCACAAACAGATCCTCTTGTACCCTATTACATGACAGCTTCTATTACTGCCTTTCAGTTGAGTCATCTGCAACATAACACTATTCTATTTTGCCACGTATTTTCACAAAACTCACAAGAGTTAGCAGAAAACTGCTATTCAGGTATTATATTTGGTGGATAATAGTCAGTTATGTGGAAAGATTAGAAAGGAGAACCAGACAATAAAACATAAAGAAATGCATATGCACAGCAAAAACAACTTAGGAATCAGAGATGGAAAATGTGAACATGACAAGAAGAAAATAATTCTTCCTGAATAAAACTGTCTGAACTTGCACTAAAAAGAAGTCCACATGGACTTCTTGAAAAGCGATTCTCGGATTTAATAATATGGCAAAATGCAGCACAGTCAGCTTTCCAAAGTAATCGCAAAGCAGGCTGATATCCAGTAGTTTGTTTCAGGATGTTTCTAGTGAACTTTTACTGCTGACTCTCTTTTGTATGTCTTGGTCAAATAATGCATGCCACACATTTAGTGCATATGATGGGCCCTGCAACTCTGGAACGCTGGCTCAGAAGCTAAGGTAGGCAATCTCTTTAACTTGAATCAAAAAATTAAAACACAACTGAAACAAGATTCTTTTTTAAAGCCAGTATCACATATTTGCACAAAGGCCACATGCTGCTCTATTTTTTATTTTTATTTTTTTTAATTTTTACTTTGCTGCTTCCTTGGAGTTAATCTGTTATGAAAAATTACTTCCCTTATTTATTTTTAAATAACGGGAGTACAGAGACTCCCACACTACAGCCCTGTGCGGAGAACTGGCTGGGTATTTCATCACAGTGCTGAGAGCCTGAACGTCTGCTAACAGGCAGTTTTCCAGCTCACTGGCACAGGCACAAGTGAAAGCAGCACATTCATTTTGTGCAATTTGCTTTACCTTCCCACATGGAGTTGGTGCATGTAAAAGGCTGTTAAGTACTAAATTATTCCTTATCAAATCACCATCATCTGGAGTCATGATCAACACTAATTAAATTACTTTCACTGAACACGGCTCCAGCCTGCTGCCTCAACTGCGAGGTACATTTTATTTTGCTTACTGTACAGTCCTAGCAAGGTACAGGGCACAGTGCTAGAAGGCATCTGCGCTGTAGTTTTAATTAAAGTTTACCTCACTTTCCTCCCAGCTTTATAAGCTAGGGTAAAGTGTATCAAATCAAGTAGGTTAACACCTTCACTTCATTTAGAGAAAGCATTACAGACCAAAGTGATTTTATATTAGATCTTTATCTTAACTACAGCCAGAAAGATAATGTAGCTGTAAAATTTAAAGCCTTCCTCAGGCAGTCTCCTGACACAGTCACCATGCTAAGCTTTATCTGTAACTCCTTAAGCATACACTTTTAGAGGTAGAAAGGAAAAAAGGCTGATAAAAATACTGCATTTTTGGGGGCCTTTCTTGAAGGCTACTTGCCCTTTCAGACCATATCTTAAGTGTGGCTGAAGATGACAGATTTATTTTAATAATAAAATTTCAAACATCCAAGGCAGTTTTCGTATCATCACTGAAAACCTCCACCCATCACTTCTGATTTTAGTGTGACACTCATTTTATAGTGCACCTATTAAAAGAGAATTTAAACATACACTCTTTTGCTAAACTGGATTTTATATTATGTTCTCAATCCTCTTTCTTTTGAGGAGAGCAGGGTTGCTTATTTATACAATCTAATTTTAGTGCAGCACACCAGCTACTAACACATTCATATTAACAAAACGACATTTTAAACAACCAGTTCCTCACCACTTCTTTCTTCCTGATGGTAAATTCATTTTACTTAACCCCAGAACAAGAGTCTCAACCCTATTAAAGTAAGGGGCTCTCTGCCTTAATAATGATCTTATTAAAAAGTGACCAAGGGCCAAGATTTCATCCCGAGTGATTACTTACAGATAACTACCTCTGAACTTGAAAGGCAAACAATCTTACAACGTGTATTTAGATGGATGGCTTCAACACCTCATCTCAACTACCACGCAAAGCCAGGCTTATCAGTATCAGAAACAGACCCTTGCCCCACAGACCCTGTCTGGAGCAACTCCAAAGCCAACACACAGATATAAAGCAAGCAGGACTGCTACCATCTGTAGCAAATTGATGAAGGTATAGTACATTACTGTACGCATATTCTCTGTGCATAAATATATCTATTTATATCTGCAGAGTAAAAGGGCTTGCATATTATATATAATGCGCTGTTGTACAGACCTAGATTTTATGCAAAGCAATAGTGATTTCACCACAAAGTAAACTCAATGCAATGTGCAAAAACACACAGGTGAAAACTGCCATCCGTCCTTCAGAAGTACTGTTCTCCTTTGCTATCTGTCAACAGCCTAATCCCTGAACATTTTGTTCATAACAACACCCAAAGAATGAAGAACCACACCACTGAAATGAAGAAGAATTTTATTGAGAACCCTGAAATCAAAGTAGGAATTGGTTTGCCTCAGAGGAGTCTGATACGTACACTTCCTAGCCTGAGAAACAGGAAGTGTACCACCTCTGTACAGACAGATCTGAATCTACTTCTTATGAGAAAGCCCTGAAATGCACTGCATTAAGCAATGGCTTAAAATATTTTTCAATTCAAGAGATGATTATTCAAGGTGAAGAAGAAATGAAGAATATGTTATATGAAATGGCAAGTAATTTCTCCTTTGAACAAAAAGTAACATTTTAACTTTGAAACTTCAGATTCCTGCCCAGAACACAGGATAAAATCTTATTTCTGAGGAAGAATGGTTTTAAACATACTTTTTAAAGCCACGAAATATAACTGGTAATTCAATGATGTTGGCTAATCGCAGGCAACGTTGACTCTACTGACCAAAGAGACAAAGATGTCCTATCCCATACTTGTGGGTCAAGAGCATTTACTATATGGCATAAAATCAATTGACAGCAGTTGATTTTATACCACACTTGCTCCTGCTAGTGAACTTGGATGTCTCCTAAGTAATACTACATTCACATGAATTACATTTGAGGACTCTTGAGTACCTGAAGAAAAAAAGAAGTCAGTCATGGCCTAAACATGCTGTTTCTAAGCTGCTTTTAAAATGTATGCTCTCAAATCATTCCCAAAGCACGATTCTGTAAATAAACTCACTAATTTTTATCATCGAGGCCAAATTTTTAGTATGAAATGTAAGTTTTGAGAGATTTCTTGAACACAGTTGAATACAGGGGACTTGACTCAGCCGCAGGAATGAAGAGACAGAAGATGTAAAATACTTCAGCTAATACCACTGCAACTCCAGGTACTAGAGTAACTGAGGTGACCCAAGATAATACTTGGTAAAATTTCAAATGCAAGAAGAAAAGGCCCCTGTACTGATAAAGCCAACACTGTCACACTTTATCTCTCGATACATACAGCAATGCAGCAGGCACTTCAGATACATCAGTCTCTCCAAGATTCTTTTCCAGTACATTTACCTCTGCCAACCCTCCCCTTCCCCCAACACACAAAAATCCATTACTAAAGGGTCTAATCTCAGCTATCAGCACAGAGTGCCTTTTATGGAGCCATTAA